CTGCAATTTATTAGAAATGCTGAATTTTGGTCCCCACAGTCCAGACCTCCAAAATCTGCAGGAGATTCTAGAACACAGTCAAGTTAGAGAACCAAAGTTCTATTCCCTGCAGGAAGGGGTGCTAGCTGGAGCAGCTTTGGAAGCCTTCCTGCAGGCTGGAAGCATGCCAGCTCCACTGTATTACCCTGAGTAGCAAATGTGAGCCCAGATCAGATCTCACCAGCAGAGTGTATGGTGAGAAGTGGGTCTCAGGTCCATGCAGGTTTCACTGTCTTCTCGCTTTCCCTCCCTGATCTGTGGTGAGACCCAGTTACCTATCACCTCTCCTGGGTATTGCTTCCCAGCTTTCACTCCCGCCCACCTCCTCCACACAGACAGAATGGGTTGTCAGTGAGATCTACAAACCTCTGCCAAGAGCTCCCCATGCAAAGGGACCCAAGAGGAGGTTCTGCTTTTAACCAGGCCTGCACATCCAGTGCTGCAGGACACAGACACTTTTTAGCCTCCTCGGTCTTGGCTTTCACCATGACATTTAGAGAGCAGCTAAGCCTGCCTGTTGAAAAGCATCCAGGGTGTAGCAGGCAGTAATGAGGCTGGCTGGTCTCCAGTAGTTGGCAAACACCATGACACATTAAATGTCACTGCAGGCTTTGTTTGGTTTTAAATTGAAAAACTGCTAGTTATAAATGCTTATAAACCTTGTTAGGGAGGAAACATTTTCCCTTTTCTTTCTCTGTCTTTTCAAACTACTTTTTTCGGGAACAGCCGGCCTCCCCTTGAACCCCAATCTCAACTCAAACCACCCCCCCCACCCTCTCCTCACACAACAACAAGCACTCTACAGCCATGGGCCCAGCTTGTTTCCAGAACCCCTCTCGATGGTGAGAAAGAATGTGGCCCAATTACTAATTCAAAGCAGATCGCATTCAGCTCCAGACTCTGACACACATTTTCCCAGGGTCCTCTACCCTTCCTTGTTCTTTTCTTCTTAAAAGGAATGCTCAGGCTTATTTGTATACTCATTTGTATATCCATCACAGCCAAATGCTACTCCAGGGCACTCACAGGCATTGGGTTTAGACTTCTGCTCTGAAACTGTTAGGTCATTGTTCCCATTGTACACATCATGTAGCTGAGGCCCAACGAATGAGACCCTTGCCCAAAGTGCCACAGAAGAGAAGTTCAGAGCTCTCAACCATGCCCCTGCCTCTTGGCCACATGGCCTCTGTCCATGTGAAATCAGAGCCCCCATACCAGAGAAGACCTCTTCATCTGCTCCCTTCATTCCAGTGCCAGCCTAAGAGAGCTTTCTCTTTTATGACTTCATCAACATACTTAATCCAAATGTATCGTCATTTTCTGTTGTTGTTCAGTCGACTCCTTCCTGCTGGCCTGTGTCAGCCCTGGAGTCAGGGTGCCTGGCTTCCCTGTGTGAGTGTGAGCACATGAGCACCTGCGTGGAGTGATTCAGGATGACCCAGTCTTATGCCATTTGCTAACACTTAGGTCAGAAGCAGGCAGGGTCTTGAATGTTTCATGAAGTGACTTTTGTCCAACAGGCTTGGAAGCAAGTGATTGCCAGGAAGACCTGGAACCACAGTGATAAACCTAGTGGGGCTGGAGGACGTGAATTCTAAGAGTGTCCAAGAACTTGACTGCACCCCATTTGTCCCCATTTAGAATATCTGTTTTGTTTTAATCCTGGAAGGGGAGGGAAAAACAGGTCAAACCAAAATTGCCTTGGTTAGTACCTTCAATCAGAGTGTTTCTACAACAAAATACTTGAGACTGGTAATTGTTAAAGAGCAGAAATTTCTTTCCCTGCAGTTCCAGAATCTGGGAAGTCCAAGATTAAGGTGCTGGCAGCTGGTGTTATTACATGATAGAAGGCAGAACAACAAAGAAAGAAAGAGGACTGAACTTGCCCTTTTATGATATATCAATCCCGCTTATGAGGGTGGAGCCCTTGTGGCCTGATCACTCCCTATAGTGTGACAATGGTGATTAAATTTCAACATGACCTTTGTAAGGAAGACACATTCAAATCAAAGCACAGTGTGACCCTAATACAACTGTCTTCCCCACACTTTCCAACTCTGGACCTCTTTCCTCCTCCCTCCCACTGTTAGAACTGCTTGGTAGAACTTAGGAGGTTATGTGGGGGTAGCTTAAAGGGCTATGACCTGGCCACACAAAAGCTGCTGGGATTCAGACAAAAGACTTGACCTTTCTGATTGACAGTCTCGTCATTTGTTAAATACATCAACAGGTTCTTTAAAGATTAAATGAAAATAGAAGTAAAGACACTGTAATATCCACCACATATCAGCTCCTTTTTTTCTGATAATATTAGTGTATTTTTCTGTTCAAAGAAATGTACTCATTTGCATTATAATGAAGGCAGTCTCTATAATAATAGCTTTTTGAAACGATGACCCTCTAATGGTGGAGTTTAAACCTCAGAAACAAGCCCCAAGAAGAGACTGGGCCACACAGTCACAGCAGGCAAGGGAACCTCAGTGACAATAAGAGTTGAAGAGGCTCAAGAAGCAAAGAGGTGAGGGAACATGTAAGGGACTGGTCACAGGGGAAGCATGAGGAATGTGAACAGCACCCTTGGACATGGCAGTTGTGTGGTTAAGGTTAGTACTGATTTATGAGCTCTTACTATGCATTGCATTCTCAAACCTCTACCAAGGTCTTCATTTACGCCTTCCCATCCAAATCCTACCCCACTCCTTCAACTCCGTCATCCCAACCCTTCACACCCCACACTATCATCACATCTCAGCTACCTTGTCTGAGTGAATGTCGTCAGAAAGGCTGCCCCTTGAAGCCAACGCAGGGCACAGCAGAAGGCCCCACCACCACCTCCCCCGAGACAGCTGCAGGGACTGACATGAGGTTATTTAGTTTGCTCTTCAGCCTCGTGCTAGAGGCATTTCCAGAACATTTCTCTGGTGATAAAAGAGTCAGTTGGGAAGAAGACCCATGGCATTCCTTGGAGCTTTCCAGTGTTGAACAGATCATGTCTGAGAGCCACTTCTTACTTCTAACATAACATCATTGACTGCACCAACAGCAGGCACATTTTATGTGGCTTCCTTTTAGTGGGCTTTGTCACTTTGGATTTTTTTCTCTTTGAGAGGGTGAGAACAGTGAGGAGAAACAAACTGAAGTTCATAAAATATAGTTTCTGGGTCTTAATATCTGTGCCACTGTCAGGAAAAAAAAATGTGTGAGGCAGCTTAAAAAACAAGTAAGTGTAGGCACTTTGGTCTTGGAACTGTAGGCCAGAGCACTTGTCACTCTGAACCTCTGACACTGAAGCCCAGGGCATCATTCAAGGTCTTATCATTTCATTCTAAGACTAGATAGGAGGCATCACTTATGCCTCCCAAAACATCAAATGGGCCCTTAAAGAGGACCCAGTTCAACATCCTGGTTAGGGACCATCTGGCTCGACTTGCTCACCTTTGTGAATGGGCAGCAAGTCTTCTACACCAGGAAAACATCCTCCATTGGGGAAGGTAGTTGGACATGGTTAAGTGCATGGCCTTTGAGGTTGTCTGCCTTGCTCCACCTGTCGCCACTTCCTGTCTCTAAGAACACTAGACTACTCATGGTCCTTACTTATTTGTAGCCTCAGTGCCTGCTGTGGTTTGGATAGGATTTTGTCTCCACTAAAATTTATGTCTAAATGTGGTTGTCAATGTAGCAGTGTTGAAGGTCTGTAGGTGGGATTAATGTCTTTCTGTGAGACTGGATTAGTTCTTTTGAGAATGGGTTAGTTCTTGCAAGAGTGAGCTGTTTCGAAGCGGGTCAGCTCCTTTGTTCCCTCCTCTCTTCCCCCCACACGCTGTCCTTCTGTTCTTCTACTATGTGTGGAACAGCATGTGGCCCTCACCAGAAGCTAAGTGATGCCAGTGCCATGCTCTTAGACTTCCAGAATGAGCCAAAATAAATCTCTTCTTTATAAATTACTCAGCCTCTGGAATTCTGTTATCATAACAGAAAACAGATGAAGACAGTACTTTTGTGCAGGCTGGCCTTGACCAGCATGCCTGTTTGCCCCTCTATCTACCAATACCTAGGTGATGTTTACCTATTAGTTATAATTCGGCTCAATTATCACTGCCATTGGAAGCTTGGATACAACCATGAGCAAGAACATGGTGGGCTCCAGAACCAGGCAGACCTATGGTTGAATCTCAATCCAGCCCCAAGACACTTGACTTCCCTAAATCTTAGTTTCCTTATCTATAAAATAGGAGAGATCCACCAATCCTCAAGTCATGTTAAAAAAGGAATACATAAGGTGTTCCATACAGTAGCAGGAATGTGGTGGGCACTCAAATTCAGCAACTATTTTCACCATTTCTTGGTTTCCCCACTCTGCCCTCCCATCTTAACCTGGGACAGAAGCCTCTCTATCATTATGCTTTTGTGTTCTAATTTTTATTATAGTTCATTGATGTATAATTTATGTACGATAGAACATACCCATTTAAGGGCATGGTGTGATGACTTTTGACAAATGGCTATTTCTATCATGCCTTAAGCTTTCCTTGTGCCATTTCCTAGTTAATCTCCATGCCCCTACCCCTGGTCCCAGGCAACCACAAATCTCTTTCTGTTGCTATCTGTTACATTTTCTTTTCCTAGGGCTTCATATAAATGGGATTACAGAGTTCACACTCCTTTGTCTCAGGCTTAATTTGCTCAATATACTGCTCTGAGTTGGTTCCTTATCACTAAACATTTAACTTGGTATTATAATCTAGCTGATTCCTCCACTAGACTGTGAGGCTACCAAAGACTCCAACTTTTTCTTCTTGGGTTCCCAGAGACACTCAGTGAATGTTGGAGGAGAGGAGTCAGGAAGGAAGTAGGAAAGCTGCCAAGGGGATTGGCTATGATCTTGGTTGCAACCTTGCCACCCATGTGACTCTGGGAGGCAACACTCAAAGTACCACAAGAACCCATCTGCAGGCACTTACAGCAGCCAGTCCACAGCCACCAGCAGACTGATGTCCTCCGTCGGCAGGCCCACAGCTGTCAGAATCAGGAGCATGGTGACAAGACCGGCACTGGGGATACTGGCTGCACCGACACTCGCCAGGGTGGCTGTGAGGCTGTGAGAACAGAGAAGGGCAGGTCACAGGAGGAGGAAAAAGTCTTGGCAAAATCATCCTGGGCCATTTGAAGCTCTAATTTTGCTACAGTCAGAAAATCCTCCTCTCTCCTTTTGCCAAGGAATAGGGAAACCTGAAGTATGGAGACCTAGAAGCAAGGGTCTGCTGGGGTCTGTTCACTGTGATGGATGCCTCTGCATTCATGGATTGGAGCCTGAGTCCATCATAATACCCAGTTAGCCCAGTGTAGCACAGAGCTGAAATAAGGTAAAGTGGCTCTCAAAACAGGCAAGGAAATACTAAAGAGAAGCAAATCACCCTTAAATTCCTATAGGAACATGACTGCATTCATTTCTGCTTATGCCTCTATGTCTCTGTGAGCCCCAGAGATGTGTGCACTACATGGCAACAGTCTGGGGTGGGGGTGGGGGGAGTAAGAGCCACTGCCAATGTCATGGTAGTGAATATTCAGACTAAACTGAGTGGACGCTGGGAGCACAAACCAACATATTCCAAATGAACTGAGCTTCAGATGTCTGGATGCTTCACCATGGGCTGGAAAAGACATTATTCCGAAAGAAGATGCCAAGAAACAAAAATGAAATAAGGGGAAGGGGGCTTTCTTTCAGAGACATCTCATCCTTTTATTTCCAAGCAATGCTGGGGGACACTCAGCACCATTTTGAAGTTTGTCTCTGGGAAGGGGTTAATCTAGAGTTCAAGCACCCTGTCGGGGTGCCAGGGAGTCTCTGCAATGCAGCCAACAGCAGTGCCTTCCCTCCTCTTTCCAGATGTCACTTCTACAAGCTGACATTTCTATAGGGAAGATGCTTCTGAAAGCAGAGATCCCCAACTTGCTTTTGTGGATGCTAAAAAAGATGAGGGGCTGCTTTCTTTGTGGTTATAGAGTTCTAGTGTTTCTAGAATAAACACTTGGACTTCAAACCAACAGTCAGACTTTCAACGTGTGACCAAGTACAGATGGGGAAGAACCAAGTCTCCCCCCAGCCCCCTCTCATGTTGGAGGAAACAAAGGCCCTCAGAGATCCTGTGTTTTTGTTAAATTTTTTTCCCTACCATCCTCCTACCCTGAGTTATGGCTATCACTGTATGAGCACCTCTTTGGGCTTTGATTCACAGAACCCATCGGCCCCATTAATGTGGAGCTGGTGTTAGGGTTTAGAGAAGTCCACCTGCCTTGAATCCATCTGGGTCACAGCAGGTGTAGTATGTGGAGGGTGTCAGCCAAAGTTCTGGACTTGAAATACCTGAGTTCAAATCCCAGCTTTGCCGATTATCAGTGCCAGGACTCTGGGCAACACAATGTATTTTGTGCCTTGAACTCTCATTTGTAAAAAGGAACTAATAATGGTCTTTGATTCATGGGGTGATCAGATGCTTTCAGGAGCTAATACGTTTAAAAAAGAGAAAAAAGAGAGTCTTTTTGCAACAAAATGGACACAACTGGAAACCATTATACTTACTGAAATAAGCCAGTCCCCAAAGACAGATCATGTTTTCCCTGATCCGTGGTAACTGAGTACCAAAAATATAATGTATATGAGTGAAATTGACATTTTGAGACTTGACTATTGTTTACAGCCCTAGTCTCTACGGTTGAGGAACAGTGCTTTTTTTTCCCCTTCTTACTATTCGTTGAATTCTTTACTTAGTGGAGGGTTAAGCTTATGATTATAAAATAAACTGAAGGTATGTCATAGTAAAAACTAGAAGAAAGAATAAGAAAGGAAGGAGGGTGGGAGTGTGGGCAGGAGGGAGGGTAGGTGGGAAGTATCACTATGCTCCTAAATCTGTATATATGAAGCAAGTGAAATTTGTTTGCCTTCTATACATAAATTAAAAAAAATAAGAGAGTTGGACCAGTGTTGTGGCACAGCAGGTCAAGCTGCCACCTGTGATGATGGCCTCCCATATGGGTGTCAGTTCATGTCCCAGTTGCTCCAATTCCAATCCAGCTCCATGCTAATAACCTGAGAAAAGCAATGGAAGAATGTCCCAAGTGTTTGGGTCCCTGCCACCCACATGGGAGACCCAGAAGAGGCTCCTGACTTCTGGCTTTGGCCTGTCCCAACCCCGGCTGTCATGGCCATCTGGGAAGTCAATCAGTAGATCTTAAAAAAAAATCTTAAAAAAAAAAAAAAAGGGAGTTCAAGTACACTGCAACCCACCACCCCCACCTCTGTAAAAGTATGCTGTTAGTCTTATCCAGAAATCTGGGCAGGGCCAGGGTGCTTTGCAATGAAAACTTCCCTAATGCCCCAAGAGCTGAACAATGGGAATTTTCAGCCGTTTCCCCAAGGCAGACAAAATACCAGGGAACAGGAACTTCCCAAGTTCCAATATTGCTGGTTTCGAATGTGTATTTATTTATAGCACCTCTGCTTCTGCCATGTGTCTCTCTTACTGGTCCTTTTGCTCTGGAGCCATGTTATCTGATTAGCTTTTGGTTAAGACCAAATCCTAGCGGGCGCCGCGGCTCACTAGGCTAATCCTCCGCCTTGCGGCGCCGGCACACCAGGTTCTAGTCCCGGTCGGGGCGCCGCAGTCTGTCCCGGTTGCCCCTCTTCCAGGCCAGCTCTCTGCTGTGGCCAGGGAGTGCAGTGGAGGATGGCCCAAGTGCTTGGGCCCTGCACCCCATGGGAGACCAGGAGAATTACCTGGCTCCTGCCACAGGAGGGTCTGTCTATGGAATTCTAGACCTCGTAACAGTTTTTGGACAGTGATTTTCCCTTTGTGCACTCACCTCTTTCTGCTTTGCCTGGCTTCCCACTTCACTAGGGCGGTGCCAGGAGGCTGTGCAAGACACCATACACACAACATAGGAGCAGAACCTCACAGTAAGCACAAGGCAGTTACTTGGTAATGTCTGCTTTCCCATGAGGAAACCATTGACTGCATGAGTGGACACACTTGCAAGGCCTGCTGGCAGTGGGTATTGTGGTGCAGCAAACTGAGCCTCCAATTGGGAAGCCCTCATCCCATATCAGAGTGCCTGATTGAGTCCTAGCTGCTCGGGTTCCTGTCCGGCTGTCTGCTAATGCACTGGGGAGGCAGCAGATGCTGGCTCAAGTGTTGGAGACCCAGCTGAAGTTCCTGGCTCCTGCTTCAGCCTGGTCCAGCTCTGGCTGTTGCAACCATTTGGTGAGTGAACCAGCAGATGGAGGATCACTCTCCCTGTCACTCTGCCTTTCAAATAAATTTTCTTAAAAAAGAAAAAGAAGGAAAATGATCTTCTAAGATTTGAACAATCATTTGCTTGATTCCAGTGTTATCCTGGATCTTAGTGCCTGTCTCATGTTGATATTGAAAACTATGAACTAGTGGATATGTTGGGAATTCTTGGCCACTACTTTCTTACATGCAAGGAAAGCAAAGGAGGAAGAATTTACTTGGAAGCACACCATGAAGCTGGACTTGGCTGTTTTTCCTCCAATTAAATCGCAGGCAGTGAGCTGCATGCACTCCAATCTGGGTCTTCCAAGGGGAAGCCCCTGTCTTAGCTACAATTAAGAAGGATTTGGTTGAACTTGCCCAGGAAATAGAGATTTAAATGTATATGGCCAAGCGTATCCTTTGCCACTGAAAATTCTCAGTAGCATCATTTTTTTTTTCTGACAGGCAGAATTAGACAGAGAGAGAGAGAGACAGAGAGAAAGGTCTTCCTTTTCTGTTGGTTCACCCCCCAAATGGCTGCTACAGCCAACAGGCTGCGCCGATCCAAAGCCAGGAGCCAGGTACTTCCTCCTGGTCTCCCATGTGGGTGCAGGGCCCAAGCACTTGGGCCATCCTCCGCTGCCTTCCCGGGCCACAGCAGAGAACTGGACGGGAAGAGGAGCAACTGGGACAGAATCCAGCACCCCAACCGGGACTAGAACCCGGGGTGCCAGCGCCGCAGGCAGAGAATTAGCCAAGTGAGCCACAGCACTGGCCAGTAGTATCATTCTTAATATAAAAAAAACCCTATGTAGATAAATTCAAGTAATTCAAGCACAATCCTAACCTCTTATTCATTGGTTCATTTTTTTCTATCTTGAAGTCCTCATCTTACACTGTGAACCTGATAGGAAGCATAGTTGCTACCAAGGCCGAAAACTGAGAGTCCAGAATTCATCTTTACATGGCAAAGGGAGCCCTTTTCTCTTTGAGTTTTTAAAATCAAGGAAGGTTGGCTCCCTGTCGCATGTGATATCTTTAGGGACGTGATCTAGAAGGTCTGATACTGGGGCCTGAAGCATGTTTTCTATTGTCAGTAAGGCCATGGTATTCACAACATCACTACCAAAATTTTCTTTAATATTCTAGGTGTATTGTATTTTATTGACCATCAAGAAGCATATCAACACTAGTAGTTAATATTTACTAACAGGTATAATGTATCAAGCACAATTAGGCTCCCAGACATTCTAGAAAGTGTGATTACTATACTTATTGTACAGATGAGGAAACTGAGGCTCCCTAGTATATACATCATAGGGTGGTGTGAGGATTATGTAAGGAAATAAGCACAATCCAAGAATACAGTATAGTGGAGGCATAGGTATAACGGCTAAAAGCACAGACCCAGAGTTAGATTGTCCAGGTTCAAATCTCATTTTTAGCACTACACTATAATGGTAAATGGTGATGATAACAAACACTGCAAACTTTTGTGGGTTTACTTTACCATTCTGTGCCTCACTTTCCCCATCTGTAAAACACAGAACCCACTGCCTATTTTCTAGGGTCCGTCCTTCCTTCCTTCCTTCCTTCCTTCCTTCCTTCCTTCCTTCCTTCCTTATTGTTTGACAGGTAGAGTTAGACAGTGAGAGAGAGAGAAAGAGAAAGGTCTTCCTTCTGTTGGTTCACCCCCCAAATGGCCGCTATGGCCAGCGCTGCACCAATCTGAAGCCAGGAGCCAGGTGCTTTTTCCTGGTCTCCCATGCGAGTGCAGGGGCACAAGCACTTGGGCCATCCTCCACTTCCCTCCCAGGCTACAGCAGAGAGCTGGAGTGGAAAAGGAGCAACCGGGTCTAGAACCCAGCACCCATATGGGATGCTGGTGCTGCAGGCGGAGGATTAACCTAGTGAATCAAGCCAGGTACAAATAATAGGGAACAAGGGATGTTGTGGTGAGCTGGATGGTACCTGTCCTACAAGATACCACAGTGTTTTTTTTTTTTTTTTTTTTTGCCACCTATCATAAGACAAACAAAGCCTTCAGTCCATGAATCACCAATTTATAAGCCCTAATCTTGATTTTGAGTACCTTCTTCACAGGAAATAGAGATATTAGTAAGTAGGGAGGTGACATGAATAAGACGATAGAGTGGGGGCCGGTGCCGTGGCTCACTAGGCTAATCCTCCACCTGCAGCGCTGGCACCCCGGGTTCTAGTCCCGGTTGAGGTGCTGGGTAATAGTCCCGGTTGCTCCTCTTCCCGTCCAGCTCTCTGCTGTGACCCAGGAAGGCAGTGGAGGATGGCCCAAGTGCTTGGGCCCTGCACCTGCATGGGAGACCAGGAGGAAGTACCTGGCTCCTGGCTTCAGATCAGTGCAGTGCCGGCCGTAGCGGCCGTTAGGAGAGTGAACCAATGGAAGGAAGACCTTTCTCTCTGCCTCTCTCTGACTATAACTCTCTATCTGTCTCTCTCTCTCACTGTCTAACTCTGCGTGGCAAAAAAAAAAAAAAAAAAAAAAAAAAAATAGAGCAGGCTCACTGTTCCTTCTTTTTTCTTTTTTCTTCTTACTTTAATTGAATCCAGAAACTATCTCTGGGCTTAATTGTCACTTCTATTTGGAGTGAGAGTAATGGTATTGAAGCAATGATTGCAAAGTGTCTTATATCATGTTATAATGTATATATGACACTGAGTGGTTTGAAGACTGCTGTTTTCAATGACTCTACTTATAAAAAAGAAGTAGTAAAATTGTCTGGGCTGGTAGGTCTGATCTTCAAGTTTACAGAAAAGCTGTGTGTTTTTAATAATCCCTTGGGGAAGCATATTTTCTGACTTTTTAAAGATAATGACTACATATAGTTAATAAAAATGCTTTGATAAAAACAAAAATACATACTATTTATTTCTAATGAAATAGTATATGTTGTATTGAGGATGCTCTTTCAATATGTCATCATTTCTGCCACCAGCCACTGAAATACTGAAGGGAGTATATTCCAATGGAAGAAAGATTAGATCCAGTGTCAGCTGATGTCAAACCCAGTTCCAGCTCTGCCAGCTCATTCCTAGTGCTGTGGCCTTGGACAAGCTACCATGCCTCTTAGCGCCTACCTTTCCTCATTTGTTAAATGCACATTGAAACAACCCTCCTGCCTACATCATGGGATTGTTACACATCAAATGGTTTCCAATTTCTGAAGCGCACTGACATGTGCCATAGAAACAGAAGGCCTGTTGCTTCCATGCCTCAGTCTTTTCCCTTTGAAGCCTGCCAATAATTCATCTTCTGCCATTTCTTTCATCATTCTTCCAGCAGGAGGACTGAGGATTCCAGTGGCCTCTGCCCAGAGTTTGGAGGGAATAGCACAGGAGGTTGTTTTGGGGTGGCCCTCCCTACTTCACTCACCTTACAGTCACAATCTGGCCTCCATCCAGGACGACCCCATTCATTTGGGCTATAAAGATGGCAGCTACCGCTTCATAAAGGGCTGTACCATCCATGTTAATGGTTGCTCCCACGGGGAGGACGAATCTGGTCACGCGCTTGTCAATCCCAAGGTTTTCTTCCAGGCACCGGAAGGTGACGGGCAATGTCCCAGCACTAAGGGACAGACAGAGAGAGAGAATTATGCCCACTTTAGAGAAACAGGACAAAGCACAAATAGGAATGCCAAGGCAGTGTTTGTTCTTTTGTTCCCGTAAACCAATGTGGCATTAAAAAAGTAGTATCTGGGGCCAAATTTAAAAACTAATGAGTAAGAGGCTCAAATTCAGTCTTATTAAGATGCTAATAGGCAACAGAATTTTTTTGGGTTCTGGATTTTGAATTCCACTCAGAGTTTCAAGTTCTCTTTTTTCTTTTAGTTGTTTTTCCATCTTGGATTACATATTGAAGAATGTTTGATTGCCTATTTTAATTTGGCTGTAAGAACACTTGTGTCAGAAAAGAATCACCTGTCAACAGCAAACTGGAATGAACTAATTTTGATTGACTTATAACTTCATACCAAAAATGCTGTTTCCAACAGAAGACTGCATGGATTGAGTCCAACCCTTGGGGATGGCCCTACTAATGTTGAGAATGCTGGACAACCATGGCAAGCACCCTTCATTATGAACCCGTGCATTGAGCAACTCACTGGAGAGCCTCGTGGACAAACTCCATGATATATAGTCATTGGAAAACTCTACTGTCTCTCCAGTGACATGTGCTTTGCAGCTAAGCAAAGATACAAGATGTGTGACTTCACACCACTCCTTTCAGGTATGGAATGGGGATTAATAGGGGACCTGCAAGGACAAGGGTTTCTGAGGGCCAGAGTATTATCTCCATGTGGGTAGAAGCGCATGGGAGGCTAGGTAGAGTTGCTTCAAAGCCTAAGTAATGTGGGAAGAACTGCAGAACACTCAAAGTGCCATACGAGTGTTTTGTGGCACATCTTTCTATTTAAATCTTAGTACAGTGAGTGGAAAATCTTCAATGCAGACAGCCTTTGCAGGTGTTTTCTCTCTTGCACCTCCGGCCTCAGTCATAGTTTCTACCTCTTATTAGATTTGGGGTCCAACTAGGCTGGACATAGGTACCTGCAGATGTCTCAGTTTCTGAGAGAAAGGGAAAAGATCATCAGCTTCAAGGAAGCGCAATCAAATATAGATTGCAGGCCTACAAAGAACAACCAAGGAACCCAGGAACTTAAAAAATTACAGAAGCCCAAATCTTCTTCTTATCAAACTATTGACACATAAGCTCTTCCTAATAGCCTTAGAGGAAGCACAGCCATCTTACCAGAAGATTCTTTGTGATTTCAGGTCAGAGGGCTATATCGTGCCTTCTTCTTGATCTTAGGTAGGGAGAAGAAATCAATGTTTGGGTCTGTCTCATCACTAAAATCTTATAAACCCAAGGCAAAAAGCTGGAGCCTGGCTTCATTCTTGAGCAGGGGTGCTATAGTATGTGGCTGCTGCCCCAGCTGTTTTCCTTGGAAGTCAGGCACCCTCCTTACTCCTCTCACCCATGCTCCTTTCTTTTCCTGGGGCCTTTCTGAAGAGTTTCCATGACATAATGATTGGTCTGAAATGGCAACCAAGTCATGGTTTGGCAGCTGGTGTTCTCAATCATATGAATATATGGGCACTTGTAGAATCACTGGAATATATTAATTTCTATAGTTGCAGTCATTTCTTTAAAATGTCACCAAATACTCTTTAGACATTAAATATACCATAAATAATGATTGGAAAGGCATGCAAATATTCTCTATTTTCTCTACTAGATGGGCTCTGTTTGTGTCTCAAAACCCTACACAGACCTAATTCATCTAAACTGGGACTTGAGAACACTGACGCCTTCCTGTGTTGACAAGCTGGCATCCTGACATGGCTTTCTGGCTCCTGCTTCAAAGACCATATGATCATCTTCAAGTATTGCTAATAATACTGCCAGATACTTGAGATTCTTCTTATTTTTCCCAATTAGTCTTAGTAGCATGCACTAAAGTCAGAGGGTCTATCCCAGGCCAGCCTTCTCTCCATTGTCCTTCCAGACACTAGTCTCTGCACTCACTGAGAAAGCCCATCAACTGCCTTCTGTGTAGTCATTCAGCACAAGGTCCACGGAGGCAGGAAGAATACTCAGGGGCTGGCCCTGGGCTTCCCATTTTTTTCCTTTGAGGCCATTATGACAAAGAAACTCTGAGTTAACTCTTGATGCATAACTCTTGCCACATTCCTTTTAAATAAAGAAAATTCCACACCACGGCAAAAGCCACATTCTAACAAGGTTAAAACCACATTTTTTTTTTTCAAGTGAGATATAGGGTAGGGGGAAGAACTGAGTTTCACAGATGATGCCTCATTCAGATAACCCAAGAATTTGTCCTGGATTTAAAAATGAATGTGTACCATCCACATCCCTTAAAATACAGTCTGCGTTGTGATAATGGGATTGAGGTATTGGGATAATGGGATATTTTTTCAAAAGAAAAAAATAATATTTTGAAGTCATTTAATTTAAAAATCAAAGTCAAAAAGGTATTAAAAGAAAGGAAAGTATTTGACCATCTTTGAGTGGGGAAGAAGTTCTGAGCAAAACTGAAATTCTAACTATTAACTATTTAGTCACACCTTTGACTACGTACACAAAAAAGCTCTGTAAATTTTTAACACAAACGTCAAGTGGAGAGAGGCATTACAAGCAACATTTGACATGGGAGTTAATATTCTTATACATGCAGAGAACTGGACGATCAGTGAGGGAGGATGATCCCTCAGACCGGAAGTGTGCAGAGTCAGAAACAATCCAAAAGGCAGGGGAAAGCAGAGGGGGGCAGATGGCTAGAGGGAACACAGAAAGCTGTGTCTTCTCACTCTGAAACATTCGGCAAGAACGTTCTTCACCGGTAGCACTGGGAAGTTTCAAAGGGACTGATAATACCCGGTGCTGATAAGAGGATGGGGAAAGGCTCATTCTCAAGCCCAGTTAGCAGGGACAAAAAAAAAAATATCAAAAGTTATCTTCTTTTCTGAATGGCAATGTGTTGGTACATTTCTAAAATGCAGTGTGCATGCCACTTGGACTCAGAAATTCCACTTGTAGAAATTCATGCTTGGGGTCATCAAGCAACCTTGCAGCAATGTACAGTTGTTCACTGCTTTAGGGAAGGCCATGTTATGACAAACGCGTCGTTTGGCGATGACCTTCCACAAATGTCAGGGTGAACACATACAAACTAAGAGGCTATGACATTGCTGGACACTACAATCTGATGGGACTGCCAAAAACAGCTGAGACAATGTTACGCAGTCAGTGCACGACTATGGTAACCCGGATGCTTGTCACAGCCTTGTTTAACAGATGTGCCTTAAAAGCTCATCCATGGGGTGCAGTGGGGTCATGTTTGTACTCTGGGACAGTATGATGATGCTGTTTAAGAAATAGTAAATATCTATATTAATAGATATAATTCTTATAATACCCTGATCAGTGAAAATAGCAATTTATAAAACAAATATACTAAGTATTGGTAATAACTAGAGCTAAACTAAAGGGTTGCTACCAACTATTACTAGATAACAGAATAACTGGTTATGTTCAGTTTCTTCTTCAAACTTTTATTCATTGCCTAAACTTTCTCACAATAGCAAGTACCACACTCATATCCAGAAAACAAAAATAAAACTAAATGTGATTGTTTTCAAAAATAATGAATACTTACTTTCTCTCCAAAGAAATATGTTCTTTTTGGATAGAGATACTTAGACATAAGAAATTTATAAAACCATACAAAAAACAGGAAATTTTGAGGAGTTTTTTATGTTGGCAAATGGGATGGAAAGTCTGGCTCCCCAGAACTGTATGTTTCAGCTTCCTATGAAATCTCATATTCCATTGGTACCAAATTCTCATTGATCTGTTAGATGGAGATGTAATGTTGCTCTTTTGGTGGTTGAAATTCTGGATCTGTTAGGTCACCCAAGGAAAACCTGATTGCACAGAAGCCTTGGAACCATAGGCCAACCACATCACAGAGGGGCCAGCTGACTAGCAGCCATGGCCATGGGCTCTGTGGCCAGGAGCTGGCCATGTGCTGGGGGTTTCCACACTCACTCAGCTCTCTGGCCCCTGTTTTACGACCTTGCTCTTAGTTTTGTGACCAAGGACACATGGGAAGTAATAGAAACAACTCTTATAGAACAGAAGAGTAAAACTTTTTTAGGTTTTGAAAATCAGATTGTCAGGGATTAGTGGTTTGTTTTTGCTAAATTCAGTTCCAGATAATGTTCTGCATGTTTCTGGGGTCCTCCCTGGCTTCCTGGGCCCTGGAAATCAGGTGATGAAAGTGGAACCGACTCTCCATCAATGTCCACTCAAGTCAGCCTGATGTTGAGAAAATCAACATGGGGCAGGACAGCTGAGGAAAGGTTCATTCCAATGTCAAAGACTTGGCTGCCTTCTGTTTGAAAAATCTCACCTAACACACCATTTACCTTATACAAGATGGCTCTCCTCCTTTTGAAATTTCATTTGCCAAAATCTCAATAGAGTGATATTTATGATAGCATTTTTCAAATCACAGGTGGAATGTTAACTGAATACCATCCTGTTACACCCTTTTGGAAAACATTTAAAATTAAACAGAAGCAGTTCTGTCTTTAGCCAATCAATAGCATGCATTCACCTGAAGAATAGTTGCTTATCAACATCAATGTTCACCAGAAGGCTCAAAAGTTCTTAGAGAGAACCAACATTTCAAAGCATTTACTTTCCAAGAAGATCTTTAATACTCGGTGAACAGGGTTCTCATTGAAGCTTGTAATGTGAAGGTTTTGAGAAACAGGAAGTGGCAAAGAGGGGGAGGGGGGAGTAAGGAGAATGTGGTTTCTTATATTCTCTACCTGGAAGCGGTACCCAGGGCGGTGATCCAAGCTTGGAAAATGCCAGCAAAAAAGGAGAAAGGGTTTTTCCTGGTCACTAGAAAGTAAATCAAAGGGAGAAAGATGCCACCATGGATGATGAGGCCCACAATCACTGTTATCATGTACATCCCCAGTTGCCTAGCAACCACTTCTAAGTCCTTGATTGCAATGATCTTCCCGCAAATTAGGCAGGCGATACCCAGAGGAGAGTACCTGAAAAAAAAAAAAAAAAGAACAAAACAGCATTGAAGAGATTATTATGGGATTCAGGACTTAAAACCTGGGCCCTCCTACACACTGCAGCCTGAGGAAAACCCTTCACTTAGAGTTTTGCTGAGAAAGGGCCATGAGATTCAGCAGATTTTTTTTTAAAGGGATGAATGGCCTTAACTGCAGTCTGTCTTTAACTGCAGATTGGTGGTACCTGCTCTGATGGAAAGTCAAAGGCAAACACTGTTGCTAAGGTGAGTTTTAGGAATAAAGAAAACTAGCTTTACTGTCACTATCATTTAAGTAACCTACAAATCAAAAGTTGTGGCACAGTGGGTTAAGTTGCTGGTGCGACACTGGCTTCTCATATCAGAGTGCTGGTTCAAGTCCCAGCTGCTTTGTTTATGAGAAGGCAGCGGAAGATGGCCCAAGTGCTTGGGCCTCTGACATCCATGGGGAGACCCGGATGGAGTTCCTGGCCCCTGGCTTTGGCCTGGCCCAGCCCTAGCTATGAAGGGCATCTGGGAAATGAGCCATTACACAGAGATTTCCCCCCCACTCTGTGTGTGTGTGTGAGTGTGTGTGTGACTCCTGTCTCAGTCTTCCCACCCCATCCCTCTGCCATTCAAATAAGTAAATGTTTTTAAAAAGTCAAGAGACACAAGTGGTTTTTTGCAAACCTTGTTTGATTTCTGAGGTCTTTGGCTCCTTCCTAGAAATTTTAGAAATCTGGACATAACTACTGAATTGTTAAGAAATCTAGAAACTGGGGGTTGTAAATTTGCATTGTTTTCACACTGAAAGATTGGGAATATCTTAAAAGGAGAGAAGAGGGGAGAGAGAGGAATAAGGAGAGTGAGTGGGAGTGGGAAGTGGGGAGAAGAGAGAGACAGAGAGAGGGAGAGTGGGAGAGAGATGCCAGTGAGAAAACCTGCTGAGCAGTTCATTTACAGAAATGTGGTTTTATTCCTTCTAAGTCTGAAAGTGTTTCTCTGCATACTTACCCTAACAATCATGCTGGTTACTATCCATTTTGTTTCAAGCACTACAGACGAGAGCTACACATCCATCGCTTCCCTTCAGTCTTTCCACAGCCCTAAAATCTAGGGATCATTCTTTCTGTTTGGCCAACAAGCACGCTGAAGTTCAGACACATTAAATAAGGAGGCCAAGACCATGAAACCAGGAAGTCAGCAGAACAACTGCAGGTATGTGAAGCTCAGCAGTGAGGGGGGATCCCCCTGCACACCAACCCACTTCCCTTAGGTGAGCAATCTCGGCTCTTTGCAGATCAGACAACCACCAGATACCACGCTATCCTACCCGGATGTGCTTCATAACGATACCTTAGTGCTGTTCCAGTGAGCGCCCAGAAACTAATTTTTTTTTCCTTATTTTCGGGAAAGCTCACGGTTTCCTCTCTTATCTTCAGTGTGTTCTTCCCATGTTTGGCAATATCCTGTTCTAAATTACCCCACCTAGTGGGGCTGGGCAAGAATTTGTTCTGTGTGTGACAGTTTCTGAACAGAAATGAAAATATTTCTGAGAAGACTGTTAGCTTATTAAAAATTAGGAACATGTTTGCAAGAAAGATTGTGGGGAAAACGAAGCCCCCAACTCCCAGAAGGGGAAGGAAGTCAGAAAATGGAGAACATCTAAGGTGAACTCGGACTTCTGTTATTTTTGGTTTTGCTTGATTGATTTAGTCCTTTCCTGGGTTAAGGAAAAAATGTGAAGTGAAGAGCAGATGAGTCATACATGCAGCTACATAATGTGGGGATCTTGCCCAGCCACCTATCAGCTGTGTGACTTTGGTTAGTGGTTTATCCCCTGGAGTAGTCCGTTTCCTGTTGCTGTAATAAAACACTTGAGACTGGGTAATTTGCTAAGAAAAGGAATCACAGTTTTGGAGCCTGAAAACTCGGGATCAGGTGGTCTCATTGGTTTGGTCTCTGGTGAGGGCCTCATGGCAGCCAGCGCCATATCCTGGACAGGAAGACAGATGAAGCCCAGGTTTCTTGCTCTTTCATAACCACCTGCGCTCATAGGTACCACTTCTCCCAGGCTAGCGTTACCTTCTCCCAGTATAAACTCACATCACCACGCTTGGGACTGAGCGTCCAGCACATGAACATCCAAATCATAGATGCCCATCTTATAAAGATGAACATCAAGGCTCAGAGAGGCTAACCCTACCTTATGGTTGCTGTGAGGATGACATTTTGAACGTGCATATGTGTGTGCCCATTTCTGGCAGTACTCTCAACACAGGAATCCCTCAGGGGTTATGCTTCCACACGTGTTCTCTTCCTCCATGCTTAATGGGTCAAGTCTGAGCTCATGAGTTTCTCTAAAACATTACACAGGCTACTCAGTGGCAGATGTTTTTATGAGTGAAATATTCTCTCAGGAAGAAACTCACTCTGAAAGAACTGACTTGTCATAAACACTCATGAGTTAACATATTAGCATAGCGACTCTCTTCCCTGATAAGCAAGTGGCCTGAACCTCCACCCCTTCTTTTCCTTGGGTGTAGGCTGCCATGGCTGAGGGCTGCTTCCCTGGACATTAGGGAGCCCAAGAGAAACCCATCATGCCATTCAACCCTTGGATTTTCCACTACTCTACATGCTCCTGGTGTGCCTGTCTCACAGCATCTCATAACTCAGCACAGTTGTCTCAGAGACCAGCACGTTGTCACTGAGGTTGCAAATACTTGAGCATAATAAAGCCTGAAACCATTTTTCTTCATAAACCAAGAGATCAGTTCTTTCCCAGGTACCAGTCATCCTAAAAAATGTCCAGAGAAACACAAATACTGGTCACTTTTGGGTGCCATTCAAGTTCTATTCTTTTCAAGGACAAGCGATTTGTAGAGTGGAAATAAAATGTTTTCAAGTCTCTTTGCCAAGGAAAACTAGCTGCAGAGTACCTCTGGAGAAAGCCTCTGAGCCAGAGCTAAATGGACTCAGAGAAGCAAAAGTTTACCTCCTGAGCACTCTGCTAGCTGGAAGACGTGTGCACTCCCACCGTAAATGGAAACTCTTAATCAAGAGCCAGAAAGTGGAGTGCGAGTGCTGGGGTTAATACGTATGGCCAACAAGAACCGTTGTTATTCCAACCACTACGGCTAGCATGAGCATCAGTTAAGACAAAGAAAGAGCCTGTGTTCTGTGATGTCTTTTACAGCCATATTTCCCTGTTGACCTTTTTTTTTTTTATTTGACAGGTAGAGTTAGACAGTAAGAGAGAGAGAGAGACAGAGAGAAAGGTCTTCCTTCCGTTGATTCACTCAACAAATGGCCGCTACAGCCAGAGCTGCGCCGATCCGAAGCCAGGAGCCAGGTGTTTCTTCCTGGTCTCTCATGTGGGTGCAGGGGCTCAAGCACTTGGGCCATCCTCCACTGCTTTCCCAGGCCACAGCAGAGAGCTGGATCAGAAGTGGAGCAACTGGGACTAGAACCCAGCACCCATATGGGATGCTGGCGCCGCAGGTAGAGGATTAACCAAGTGAGCCACGGCGCCGGCCCCTCCCTGTTGACCATTTTTAAGACAGGTAACTTAAGTCTCCACTGAAGCTGGGACTTCTGAGTCCCTGAATTTCCCTACCAATGAGTTTCCTTCTTGAAAAATGACATTCCATGGAAAATGAAGGGCAAATACCCAGGGTCCAAGGTCATAGTCAAAGCTACCCACCAAAATATAGAGGCTGACAGCTCCACAGAGAGCTCCAAAGCCAAATGATACTCAGGAATCAGTGGGCCCATTTCTAAATTAGAAGGCCATGACACTAGAGCTAGGTCAGGGAATGACTTCCATGCTGCACCAAGGTTGCTCCTATTCCAGCTCTGTGCACTGTTTTCAAGGCCACTAACTCGTCCAGGACTGGTGTGCTGGATCTTTCTTCCAGTGGTATTGTCCAATCAAACTTCCACTCACTTGGAAGGTCAACACTTATCAGCCTAAGGGTTCCACTCACAGACCCCTCACAGGGGTGGTCTCAGCTCCACAAACACAGGCTCATGACAGCACTGAACATACCCAGAATTCAGTCAGGGTTTCTGTGTACCATGCACCACCCACATCACAATCACCCACCTGCCAGTTAACAACCAATATAGATTCCTTGGGCTCATGGGGACCTACAGGTTCAGATTCCCCTGGAGCTGGCCTTGAGGCATTTGTATGCTAATAGATTCTCCAAGTAATTTTGATGTGCTTTAACCAGTATTTCATGCAGCCCGCCTTGTTACCTGTCAGGGACTCCCTTTTGCAAGTAAATTGAACCCCAAGTCATTGCACTGGCTGCTAGGCCTTCAGGGATCTGTCCCCTACCCACCTCTCTGCCTCCCAGCCTTCCACCTCCTCTTATCAAGCAACGTGCTCCAGCCACTCCCAAACTTTGTTCTCATCCTCAAATATGTTCCACCAGCCAATTCCTCCAACAGAAGAGTTCTCCCCTCAGCTCCTCACCAAGCTGCCTGCCTCTCAGTCTTTTTTTTTTTTCTTTTAATCTTCATACTATTTGAAAGACTGAGAGACAGAGATAGGCAGAAACAGAGGGAGAGGGGGAGGGAGAGAGAGAGAGAGATCTCCCATATACTGGTTCACTCCCCAAATCCGCAACAGCTTGGGCTGGACCAGGCTGAAGCCAAGAGCCAGGAGCTCCATCCAAATCTCCCACATGCATTGCAAAAGGACCAAATTACCCTCTGCCTCCCAAGGGTGAACATTAGCAGGGAATTGCAATTAGCATAGCCAGGACCCAAACCACAATACCCAGATACGGGATGAAGGCATCTTAAGCACTGTGCCAAAGGTATGCCCCATATCTGACTCTTCAGATCTTCATCGAATCACATTCCCAGACAGCCCTGCCTGGCTCCTCACTTCCGTTCTCCCAGTAATCTGTTGTACCTGTCTTGTAGCACATTTTACTAGTTAAATTCTGAGTTTCTTCCTTGTGTTGGCTCCTTTCTCTTTTCACTAGAATGTTTCCTGAG